CTCCCCCAGGGAGGAGGTCACATATAGTTCTGCTTTTAAAACACACAAAAATACAAGTACCACAGTGTGTGTATATACAAATATGTATTATTTTCCAAACAAATTAAAAATATTAATTTGAGCTCTTTTATTTCTTTGCATGCCAGTCTGAAGCCAAATGGTCTTGCTGCACACGTGCACTCCCTTCCCTGGCTGGTTCCGTCATCTTGGGCTAGTGGGGCATTTTCTGGTAGGAAATCCAAGAGGAGATGGCCAGATGCTTTGGCAAAGGGCGGTTGGTAGACTTTTCAATGAAAATAAATCACGGTGATTGAGGCGTCCTGTGAGCAGAGGTCTCGGTGGCAGCAAAGAGGAGCGGGCTGATGTGTTTGGAAAGGCTCGTGACTTACTGTGTGGAGGGCCAGGGCTGGAGTGACACCGCACCATGGGAAGTGGGCCATCACTGTCCTCAAGCAGGCTGGGCCGCGGACCCAGTCCTGTCCACTGGGCCTCGGATCAGGCAGTCCATGTGATTGTGATTTGGCAGACATTGGTTCTCTGAAGCCATTCCACGCCTGCCCCAGTCCCGGGAGCAGATCGTGCCAAAGAGCTGGGAGGGCAGCCGTTCTAGCCCCTAATTTTGCAGATGAACAAACTGAGGCTCATGGGAGAGTAAGGAAAGCAGGGATTTGGCATGAGACTAACCTGTGTGGAGGCTATGGACTGTTTGATGCTGACCTGTGACCTTGACTATGTCCTTCCCTGAGCCTCTGTCTTCTTGTGTCTAAAACGATGGCAGTGTGCCCTTCTCTGTGGGGTTGCAGGGACTAGAACTGCCAGCTGTGGTGTGCTGGGCGGAGGCTCTGGCATATGGGAAGAATGGCACTGGAGGTCAGCTTAACAACTTCTCCAGGGAGACACAGCTCTTACGTGGAGCCTTTGACTTAAAATTAGGACTCTTTCCTCGCTTCCCTTTGGCCTAAGGCAACTGAACAGCACAAATATAGTTTGAGTGAGTTGGCATGGTTCGAATATTCCAGAGACAGACACTGGAGGCAGGCGGTATGGGACAGTGGGTGAGAA